AAAACTCGGAGTCTCTCTCTCTCTGTAATTCAGCACCGATTCTGTTTCAGCCCGTGTAATTGGTAAGTGGATCTGTTCTGATTTAGGGTTTTGAAAGGGTTTGCTTTTCAACTTTCTTCATCTACTGATTTGGGATTTTCTCTGTAACAGAACTAATTGGGATTAGTTCACTTTGATCGGATTTTTTCTGGGAAAAGCCTTACGGGAATTTGGTTTCGGATTTGTGGTTTTTTCTCTAATTGAGATTTTCTGATTCGGCGATTCGATTATTGATTTCGAAGGGTTTTTTTTTTGTTTCTGTATCTTTCAAAACTTTTTTTTTTATTGGGGAATTTGGCTTCGAACTTGTGATTTGGGTTCTTTTGTGGTGGATTCTCGGTCACCGAAATGAGTATTGGTATCTGAATTTTGGGTCTTCTTTACTTTTCGGTACTTTTGGGTTTTTGAATTCACAAAGTCGATTCCGATTCTGAGTTTTTGTTTTCTTTATTGATGCTGCAAATTATCAGATTTGTTTTTCTTTGTTAAGCAAAGTTACTCACGCTCGTACTGATCTTCCTGTGTGGAAATCGAATTTGGGATTCTGGTGAAGATAGCAAAATGTTCTTCTCATCACTTTAATTTCGTATCTTGTTCAGATCAGTTCCACGGTTTTCTCATTTTGTTAACTGTTTAAACTTTCCCTGTTATCACTGGGCAGATAAGTCATCATTATGGCTCCCACTAGGAAGTCGAAGAGTGTGAACAAGCGATTCACCAATGAAGCATCTCCAGAGATATATGTAGGAAGTTCGAGCAAAACTAAGCAACGAGTGAGTTTACATGATCTCTTTGTTATCTACTTATCCTATTAAGGATTAAAATCCCTTTGTAACTTTGTTGCCCGTGATGGAAATCTTATAGTGAGTCTTGAGAGATTTTCAATTTTCCTCTTCTAGTGCTCTTTTATCGATCTTCGTTTCTTGAAAGCCGAAGCAGATGTTACTCGTATTTGTTGCTGACTATGGTTTTTCTCATCATAGAAGAAGAAATTGACTGACAAGCTGGGACCTCAGTGGACTAAAGGAGAGCTTCAACGTTTCTATGACGCCTATCGGAAGCATGGGGCACAATGGAAAAAGGTAGCAAGATTTGTTTTTTTTTTTATGCGAGTACTTTCTGGATTTTTGTATGACTTCAGTCTTAAGACTTGTTTTCCCCCCTGCAAACTGCTTAGGTAGCTGCTGCAGTGCGGAATAACCGGTCTGTTGACATGGTGGAAGCCCTTTTTAATATGAATCGGGTATGAGAACAAGAATATCTCACTTTTCAGTTTTGTTTCGTTCAGTTTTCCTTAGGCTTCATCCTAACTTTAAAACTATATTATGTTAAAGATCCTTTTAATTCATTTGATTTGCCTTTTCTTCCAGGCATATTTATCCCTGCCTGAGGGAACTGCGTCTGTAGCTGGCCTCATTGCAATGATGATTGATCATTACAGCGTCATAGTGAGTAATTTATTTTATTACGGCTGGAACGCCTTAAACTTCATGTTAAATGAATTCCTAGTTGAAAATTCAGGTGGAAAATTCCTAGTTGAAAATTCATTATTAATATCTGTACCCAGTATAGTCCAACACATTAGTGAAGTTTTAGTTGAATATTTTCGTGAAAACAAGGGAGAGCTGTGGCTAATTGGTTGGTTCAGATTGTCTGTTTCGTAAAGTTGTGTGATCCAGTTTGTACATGCTTATGGTAATTTTTTTAGGAGGGGAGTGAAAGT